TGAATGTTTCTGTTAAATTATTATTTTATAGATGAATGTTTCTGTTACATTATTATTTTATAGATGAATGTTTCTGTTCAGTCCCTGAGACGACTTCTCTTGTGACTTTGTGTTGTAGAAATAAACTGAATTGAATTGAAACTGAATTAAAAGTGAACGGCCATGACTTGAGAGTAGTATTCATGTGCCCTCTGCTGGATACATTGTGTACTGCACATGGACCAAGACTGCCACACAGTTACAGGTTACCAGAGTTCATGCTCAGAAATCCAAGTAAAAATCCAGCAATGTTCAGTCAGGTCATCTGGCCAGTTTCTTTTGTTGCTGAGACGTTTTGTCCTTCATCCAGAGGACTTCTTCAATCTGAGGAGCCACCAACAAACTGAATCCCACAAACAGCTCGCTCCATAGAGGGAGTTCCAAGTTACTTAAGGCTTTTTGAAGCTACTTTGAACTGTAACTTTTTTTACATACATTTTTAAAGTACAAATAAAAAAAGTATATGTTTGCTGCCGGTGTATAAGGTATAACAGGACACCATAACACAATGAGGCCCGAGGCAGTTGCCTACCTTTGCCTAACAGTCAGTCCACTTCTTATAAGCGTTTTCAACTTTTGCTTCGATGCAAAAGAAGATATTAATCCTTTACTCTGCTGAAGTCTTTCACAACTTATTATGGAATCATAATTATTGCTTATAATTATTGCTTTGATATTGTATTTATTCTTTCAAATTTATAATGGCAGCAGTCGGATGTCCATTTGAAAATAAAAATGTTTGTTCAAATATAAACAAATCAGACAGATGAAGTAGAGATCTTGATCTTAAAAATACGTTTTAAATATTTTTTCATACGTTAAAAACATTTGTTTTAAAGTTTTTTTTACTGTGGCCTCACATTATGTGTTTATTAATCTTGTATTTCTCAAGAGGTATAAAACTCAGAGCTCCAACAGAAGCAGCGAGGGAAAGCTATGGAGCCAAACATGGCTTTCTTCAACAGCTGGAAATCAGAGTTCGGTTCAATTGTTTAACCTTTAAATGTTGCTGTTCTGTTCATGTCGTCCAGTGTTCAAATCTAACGTGACCAAGTGTGTCTTCTTCTTCTCGTGAGGACATTTGGCCCCCAGCTTGTAAGCTGCCCATGCACCATGCCTTGTTTCCTGTTGCTGGTGCAGGCCTTGCAGCGCTGCAGCATCGTCTTTTTCTCAGTTCCTGTGAAGATGAAGACGTTTCTGTAAATGGTCTTATTTGGGGGCCAAGATGGGGTAGAGGCAGGGCCGCCGACTCGGGACCCGAAAGTCCCAGGCTTGATCCCCAGCCGTTCCCACGTCATGGTGTGACTTCCAATTGTTCCCTGGGCTCTTAGCTGCCCACTGCTCCACCTGGGTGTCTCTCTGGTTGATGGGTTAAATCCAGAGAATTAATGTCACCATTGTATGAGAACAGACAATGATGACAACACATAGCACTTTATTTATGATGTACTTTATTTATGTATTTTAATAAATGGCAAAATAATAAAGGTTGTTCTGGAACAAAGGCATGTTTGTGTGGACAAGGCCAGCGTGTTGGGCCTCCTACTGTTAAACAGCCTGTAAAGCATTTTGCACGGGGTTCGACTGTTGGTTGAGTGTGTGAGGAGGGATAAACACGAGCTGAAATGTTCTCTGTCCACTTTGTCTTTTGTCTTTCAAAAAGCAGGACACTGAAAGCTTTTCATCTCTGGCTCTATCCTCAGTCTAACTCAGTTCCACTAACATCCTGCAGAGGCATCATTTCAGGTTTAAGACAGAGAACACAACCAGGAAAAGAAGTTTGGTTTCGCTCTATGCTGGTTTTTCCTGCTTCATCTGCCCCCTTCTCTTTTTTCCTCCTTTTCCTCCCTCCTCCTCTCTCCTGACCTGCTGTTTTGTTCCCTCCTGTGTGCACAATGGCTGCTCCCTCCCTTCCCTCCTCCCTCCTCCGCCCTCTCTCGACCCTCCATAACATTGACCGTGGCCTGACTTGTGATCAGCCTTTGAAAGCACACTCTACACTCCCTCACCTCAGGAGTACAGCAGGACGTCCTCCACGCCTGTATGTCCATCTACGCCCACTTACCCAGCTCCTAGTACGCCGTCCCTTTCCTCCACCACACCCCCAACCCCACCACTCAGGCAGTCAGCCTCCCGCTTTGCCACCTCGCTCGGTTCGGCCTTTCACCCTGTCCTGCCTCACTATGCCACAGTTCCAAGACGACAGCAGGCCTTTTCTCAAGCCCCGCCTCCAGCCCCCGCCCCTACGCCACCTCCTCCTAAGTCTGTGGTTTGGTCAGCATCCAACTTTACCCCACTGCCCCCATCACCCCCTGTCATGATAAGCAGCCCTCCAGGGAAGGCGACAGGTCCACGGCCTCTCATCCCCATGGCCACATCATCGCCACTCAGCCAAAAACCCCCATCGCCATCACCCAATGGGCCCCCGATGTTCCCTGCACCTTCACCCATCACCATCCCACACAACCACACCCCTCTTGGCATCACCTGCCCAACACCACCTCCCCCACCCACCCCTCCCCCGCTTCCCTTTCCCATGGCTCTCCCTCCGTTTCCCTCGTCTGTCTCGTCTCCCCCCTCCTCATCTCAGGCTCCTGGTGTGCCCTCTCCCTCCACAGCACCCCCTGCTGCCACAGCTGCTGCCACCTCTGCCTCTGCTGAGCACCTCTTTCTCCCCTTGGGTCTGGGCCTCTCGGGGCCAGGGGAGCCAGGCACGGCCGCAGGTCCAGAGCCCCATTCAGCTCAGGGGACCTCCTCCTGTCAGCCCCAGCCCCAGGGTAAGGCCTCCAGTCTGGATTCTGCTTTCTTCCTCCTTCTGTCTGTCTCTGCCTTCGGCTCACACTAACAGGGTGAAGGTAAACTCTGCTGAACGTGTGTTTGTCCCATCGAACAAGTTTCACCTTTCTGAAGAACAAATACCTCGGTCCTGGTGGTGTTGACTTGTCCTCTGACAGCAGAGTGTTCACAGAGCTGCCACTGTCATAACGTCCGTTCCTGTTTCTGTGCTTGCTCTTTAAAGATCTGCCTTATTGATTAGTGAATATTACTTGATCTGTGGTTCTGCATGGCCCATCCGTCTAACTCAGGGGTTGGCAACCCGCAGCTCCGGAGCCGCATGCGGCTCTTTCATCCCTCTGCTGCGACTCCCAGTCACTTTGGAAAATAAATAATGACTATTTAATTTAAAATTATTTTTATTTAGGCCCGAGCAGCTAAGCGCTGAGAAGGCCTATTGTAATCGCTCTGTTCAGGCCCGAGATACAATTGTTCCGTCAAACGAATTGGCCTTTTGGGGCCTTAACATATCCCAAAAGTCACCAAATTTGGTGGATGCATCAGGACTGGTGAAAATTCCGTATTTTAAGAGTGTGGCAAAAATTGCAACAGAAACGTCTCAAGATCGCCACCTGGAAATTATAAAATTACCCTCCGCATTAACCTTAGTTTGTCATAGAAACATGATATTTGGTACCCAAGATGCACAGAAAACCCTCTGGCACCGTCGTTGTACGATAAACAGGAAGGCGGCCATTTTGGAATGCCGTCCCAATTTTAACATCTTTTTGGCAGTTTACAGCATCCGCATTTGAACGAACTCCTAGGGATTTTGCCCAATCGGTTTCAAACTGGGCCATGTTGGTCAAAAGGCATGGGGGACGCACAATTATCTAAACGGTACATTTTGGAGCATGCTGAAGGGGCGGGGCCAGACCTCACAGTTTGACATCTCGCCATGAAAAACGAAACTCTAATAGCTCCTACACGAAAACTGCATGAGACATCCAACCTTCAGTGATTGATCCACAGCCAGTTCCCTGCAAGACTGAATGGTCAAGTCATGACATAACTTAAGCCACGCCCCCTGACAACAGGAAGTGTAAAGTTTTACGGTGAACGATCCCTATCTGACCCCTGTTACCTGATCAGCATGGTAGTGTGTCCAGTGACCGAAGACATGTTGGTGTAACTTGCTTTCCAACAATGACAGTTTGGGGTGGAGCATGTGGGCAGCGCAGCGTGGCGAAGTAAGACGTAACGCCGTCGCCATACATTTGGCTCTAAATTCCACCGTTTTGAATTGAGATGCACCAAAATCAGTATGATCGATCATTATCCACCCCTTGAACAGGAAGCCATGATAATTGCCCAATAGCCTCCACAGCGCCCCCTACAATTTTTTTAAAATCTCAGCCCCAAGCCATTTTTTGACCTATACTTCTGAAACTCAGTGAACATCTGTATCTTCTCAGGACCTATGAAAAAGTCTCTTGGAGCCCTGGTCCAAACTCAACAGGAAGTTGGCCATTTTGGGTCAAATGGTCATTTTTGGGCGTTTCTAATGGCAAATTTTAACCAACTCGTAGGGATTTTGAGTGATTGCCTTCAAACTTGGTTAATATGTCCTTAACATGTTGGGGAGTAAAAGTTATCAAAAGCTTTCGGTTTTGTATATGTTAAAGGGGCATGGCCAGACCTCAAAGTTGCGCTTCACTCCATAAATTTACAAATGCTATAATTTTCACAAAGAAAGACCGAATTGCACCAAACTTGGCATGACTCATCCCTGTTGGATGCCCGATGATCCACTATTGTCATATTCTGAGGTGATCAAAGCCCCTCCCCCTCAGAACAGGAAGTCACTTTTTTTAACTTGTAAATCTCCCTCTCTGACACCCTGGACCTAATCAGGATGATCCTGTTGTAGAATACATATAACAAGGTAATCTGACTTGATTTAAATTACAAACAGTTTTAGCTGGAGGATGTGGGCGTGGCGGCATGGCGAATTAAGAAGTCACGCCATTGCAATACATTTGGCTCTAAATTGCACAGATTTGAGCCGAGGTGCACCAAAATCACTATGATCGATCATTATCCACCCCTTTGAACAAGAATACATGATAAGTGGCCAGTAGCCTCCAAAGCGCCCTCTACATTATTTCTATAGTTATATCTCAGTGATACATAATCCGATCTGAACCAGATTTATTGTGCGTAATCAGTGAGCACTTCTAGACACATTGATATTGTGGTTTAACATATGACTCCAGTACGCCCCCTAGATTATTCCAACAGTTATATCTCAGTGAAATATCATCCAATATGTACCAGATTTATTGTGCATGATCAGTGAGCACTTATAGACACATTGGTATTGTTCTTTAACATTTGACTCAAATGCGCCCCCTAGATTATTCCAACAGTTATATCTCAATGATACATCATCCGATATGTGCCACATTTATTGTGCGTCATCTGTGAGCACTTCTACACACATTGATATTATGGTTTAACATATGTCTCCAGTACACCTCCTAGATTGATACAAAAGTTATATCTCACTGATACATTATCTGATCTGTACTGGATTTATTGTACATGATCAGTGAGCATTTCTAGACACATTGGTATTGTTGATTCATGACTTGATTTAAGCCCAGCCTACTCAGAGAAGAAACTGATGATTATTGGGTGACTCTTCCAGCTTGGCACTGTGTAAGATATAAGACTGAAACCATATTTGCTAACTGTGGATTTCCACATATGACATGTTGAAAAGCCTAAACGAAGTCCTTTACATTCGCGACAAAACAGGAAGTGACAATAACTCTTGTCTGGCAGGTCGAATTTTAGCCAAACTTGTAAGGCTTGCAGCTGGACTCATACTGATATGGGCGGAAGGTAATTGCAAATATTCGGCATATGCGCACCCTGGTGGACACATGTGGGAATGACATGAGAGTGTTCACGATGGCGACTGGGAGGCGTTGCTGGAGCTCCCGCGGTTGCAGGTGATGTCGAAGATTTGGTAAATGCGCACACTGGTGAACGACTGCGGGATAGACACGAGAACGTTCGCGATGGTGACTGGGCAGAGTAGCTGAAGCTCACGCGGTCGCCATAAGGCCGGAGCGGCGCTTTGCTGCGAGGGCCTTCAATGCTGCTTGCAGCTTTATTTATTGTTGTTTTTATGGAAGTACAAAGAGTTTTTCTTGTTTTTATGGAAGTACAAACAGTTTTTCTTGTTTTTATGGAAGTACAAACAGTTTTAGTTGTTTTTCTGGAAGTACAAACAGTTTTAGTTGTTCACCAAAGTTCATGCTCAATGATCTAGATTACAAATCCAACAATGTTCATTCAGGTCATCTGGATGGTTTATTTTTTTGCTGAGACGTTTTGTCCTTCATCCCAAGGAATTCTTCAGTCTGAGGAGCCACCAAACAAACTGATTCCCACATCAGCTCACTCCATAGTGGATAAAACCAGTTTGCTGGTGCTAAGATGGCCTCCGGGGCCCGCCCATGTTTTTGTTGTGGTTTCCTTTAAAATACCAATTTAATCACATTTTCTTCACTTGTCCGTCACTTCACCCATTTCCCACTTTTTATTCTTTCACCCAACAGATGTGGTGCAGAGCCCGGCATTGACCGCTCCCATCCCTCCCCCACCTCCACCCCTGCCCCCCAGCACCACTGTGACATCTGCAACTGCCACGCCGGCTGTTACCCCAACTGCTTCAGCCGGCCATCCTCCTCCTCCGCCGCCTCCTCCACTCCCTCCTACCTTGACTCCAAACGGAACACCCCCTTCACCACCAGGTCCAGCCCCTCCACCCGGAGCCCCGCCACCACCTCCAGCACCCCCACTTCCTGTTGGACTGTTCTCTCCTACAGAGGACCACCCCTCCTCAGGCCTGGCTGCCGCCCTCGCTGGAGCCAAACTACGGAAAGTGCCAAGGGTGAGCGTTGCACTGACTGATGTCTCTGACCCATTGGCGTCAGAACTATCTGTAATGTGGGGGGACACACTTTTGGTGTGTGTCCGTGCACGAACATGCACACACATCCCCAGTATGCAAAAAAAGTGTACACTAGTGAACAAAAAAGCAACATTTTACCTAGATTTCCTTTAATTCCATACATTTAAATCATGTTTTTCATTAAGTTTGTCTAAATTCAGCTGTGGATTTTAAAGACATTTCAGCTTTAATGAGCTTTAACACACAGCATCATGTCGGCACTATTTAGAGAAATTAAATAAAAAACAGTATTACCAGTGCACATTTTACTTGTGTTCAACACTACTCGTTTAAATGATGTTTCTCATGAAGCTTGAGGACAATAAGGTGTGGGGTTTAAAGACATTTCAACTTTAATGCACCTGAACACACAGCGTCTCTTACACCTGCAGCGTCTGACAGCGTCACACAGTTAGCTTAGCGCTAATCTAAGATGCTACAAACATGGTGCTCCACTTCTCTCAAAGCATCCTAACCATGTATAGCTGTTTATGATCCTAACCCTCCTGGTCAACAACTGCCAGCACTAAGCTGGCGAGCAACACAGAGATGTCTCCACCTCCTCCACCTGTGTGTGTGTCCTGCCAACGCAGGAGACGCAGAGGAGAAACGCTGCTGGAGAGTTGTAGGTAACCAGGAAAACCAGTAGTGGACTTTTAGTGGTTAGAGCATTCTCCCAATAATCAAGTGGAGTGGATGCGTTCACGAAGAAATAGGAACAGCGCCAACTGAACTGATGTTTCATGGTAAATATGGGGGGTCCAAATAAAAGTTTTTTAAATGTGGGGGGGACACGTCCCCTTCACATATAATGGTTGTGACGCCTATGCTCTGACCTGACCCATATGACAGTTTACACCCTCTAAACCCAGTTAGTATTGACATGGTCACACACTTTTTGTAGCTTTGTGTCTTTGGTTTCACGCAAAGCACATTGGCACAAACCGTTAACCATACGCAGCCATCGCACTACAGCACCATGCAATGGCTCAACCAATTTCTATTACTCGAACATGAAACCATGTTCACACACGGTCACCGTTTTATCTTAGCTCAAGCTCACAGGAGCATCTTTTATAAAGCTAAAGGTGTCTGCTGAACACTCCACTGCTGCTACAGTACAAATATATTGTGACAAAAAACAACAACCTCGCATCTGTCAACCAGAATTCAGCCTGTTCTAGAAGGTCTGAGGTCCGCTGACTTTAGGTGGAAGCAGACCTTGGTCCTCCCGGAACAGTCTCAGTGACAGGAGAAATCACTGGTTGAGTTTGGATTAATTATAGATCATGATCAAGTTGATCCTTGCAGGCCCTCTGGACAAATAGGATTTTAACCAGTAATCTGCCGTGATGAGAAGAGGTGAAGAAGCCGCAGATCTATTGGTAAATGAGCCGAAGAACATTCCAATGACTCCCGTGGTGGCGTTAACTTACACCTCCAGGAATATCCTGGTTGTGTTCCTCACACTCCCCCACAGTGGGCTTTTAGTAGCAGACAGGTGTGGGGGGTCACACTTAAGCCCTAAGGTCCAACTCAACACGTGCCATTTATGGTACATAAAGAACCCATGAGAAAAATATTAAAAGCAACGTACCAACAATTAAGAATCACGCGGGAGCAAAACTTTATTAAAGTGGATAATATAAAAAGGTGCTGTGCACTTAAAAACTTACATTCAGTGTATGAACTATATAGAAAATGAAAATTTAAAAATCAAAGGGGTAATATAATCCACAAGTGTCCTCAGCAACATCTATTCTCTACTGCTCCTCTAAAAGTTAGATATTAAATAAATGTAAGTAAAATAAATGCTGGTGCTCTAAACGTCCCGTCACCCCTGGGCCTAAATGAACCACGTGCTACAGGAGGTGATCTGCTATCAATGTCCAATAGCAAAACACCACTACTTGTGAGTGCGAGTGATTCTTATAAACTCTTGTGATGATGATTCATAGCAGATAAGTTACACCTCATTTCATTTTCAAACAATGGGAACAAAGTTTAGGTTACATTAAATCATGGTTTTGCAGGGTTATAACCACCTCCTCTCCAAGGTTACAAAAAAGAGAAATAGTAAATAAACAGAAAAGTAAAATGTCATCTTACAAGCAGCCATTAACACCCAGATACACTTTCTTTTTGGATTTATTTCTCTTCCTCATTTATCGCTTTTTATTCATTCATTCAACCTTTATTGATACAAGTTAGTCTCACTGAGTCACGGGGACTCATTTCAAGAGAGACATGTTTTATAAGGTACAGACAACAATAAACAGACAACAATAAACAACAATAAAATGCAATTAAAATAAAAGCAGTGTTATAAAACAATAAATCAAGGTGCCTTATAAAACATGGTAAACACTAAAAACAAGAACACATTTGCTTTGATTTGTCTATTGACCTTATCAGTGTTTAAAATCCCTTAAAGCTTCAGATCTTTTTACAAGATGTTACAGGAGCAGAGTAGGAAAAGACCTTTTTGCCAAGTTCAGTCCGCTCTCAGGGGACGCTGCAGGTAATGAAGGCCTGAGAGTGCATGTCGTAACTGCATTGACAACGTGACGTGTAGGAGGAGATATAAGAAGGTAGCAGATCAAGGAGTGATTTATAGATGAACATGAACCAGTGTGAGAGCCTTCGTGTAGATAATGATGACCAACTGATCAAGGAGTACAGGGTGCAGTAATGGGTACGGTAGTTACAACCAGTTATGAATCTTGGCGCACCATGGTAGACACCATCCAACATCTGCAAGGAGTTGGCAGGGGCAATCATGTAAATCTGTGTTGTTCAACCTTTTTTGAGCCAAGGCACATTTTTTAACTGAAAAACATCAAAAGGCACACCAATCGCCCAAAATGTAAATAAATGAAACTCTGACCTTTGATGGGTGCTTAGCACCCAGTGCTGATGATGACTCTTGGTTCAAAGGACACAATGTCCATTGGCATCAGAGGCATTTGTAATGTGTAGAGGACCCACTGTTGAGGAGGGGGGGTCTGGGGGTCCCTCCCTAGAAAATTTGGAATAAAGTAGATGCCATTTCCTGCATTCTGGTGTATTTCAACAGGTTAAACATCTGTGTTTACCTATATAAGCAAACACTTGATTCAATGACTATTTTAGAGAGCATGGCACAACAAGAAGCTAATATTAAGCTAATATTACTACCTGTGAAATACTTATTTATACTAATTCATTCTACTTGTACACTTATATACCAGTTTTTAGAAGTTTTGATATTGACTCTGTGCCTGACTCCGCGCGATTTATGCGTGGTCCGCTGAAAAAAAAAGTCTGTCATCCAGCTGGAAGACTGTATCCGGTGTTTTGCTTGTAATCCACGATTCTGTGAGGCAAAGCACCGCACACTTCTTCATCTCTTCTGAGGCGCCCGCTCTCAGACGAAGTAAATCCATCTTGTTGTCCAACGAGCAGACATTCGACAGAAAGAGAGACGGCATGGGGAGTTTACCGGCTTTAGCGTTAGCTCGTAGCCTCACCATAACCTCCGCCCGGCATCCTCTCCTCTTAAGCCGGAAGCAGCGCTTCCTCTTCTGCCCACTGGAACGCCTCTGCTGCAGCTTCCAGGTAGATGACTTTAAGATCTGCATTCTGCCGAGCGTAGTTTTGAGTTTGTTGCTGATTTCTGCTATATTTCGTGGCAAATCCGCTCCTATTCTCATCAGTTCGGTTCGGCTATAGTTCACACGCATAAATCGTGCGGAGTCAGGCACAGAGTCAATATCAAAACTTCTAAAAACTGGTATATAAGTGTACAAGTAGAATGAATTAGTATAAATAAGTATTTCACAGGTAGTAATATTAGCTTAATATTAGCTTCTTGTTGTGCCATGCTCTCTAAAATAGTCATTGAATCAAGTGTTTGCTTATATAGGTAAACACAGATGTTTAACCTGTTGAAATACACCAGAATGCAGGAAATGGCATCTACTTTATTCCAAATTTTCTAGGGAGGGACCCCCAGACCCCCCCTCCTCAACAGTGGGTCCTCTACACATTACAAATGCCTCTGATGCCAATGGACATTGTGTCCTTTGAACCAAGAGTCATCATCAGCACTGGGTGCTAAGCACCCATCAAAGGTCAGAGTTTCATTTATTTACATTTTGGGCGATTGGTGTGCCTTTTGATGTTTTTCAGTTAAAAAATGTGCCTTGGCTCAAAAAAGGTTGAACAACACAGATTTACATGATTGCCCCTGCCAACTCCTTGCAGATGTTGGATGGTGTCTACCATGGTGCGCCAAGATTCATAACTGGTTGTAACTACTGTACCCATTACTGCACCCTGTACTCCTTGATCAGTTGGTCATCATTATCTACACGAAGGCTCTCACACTGGTTCATGTTCATCTATAAATCACTCCTTGCTCTAACTAATCAAGTTTTAAGTTTTTGTCCAAAAAGACCAACTTGTCCACATTTTCTTCCAAAAGCATAGGTCTAGTTGCAGTGACATTATATCCAGCGGTGGAGAAAACCTCTCACTAACAACAGGTAGCAGGAATAAAGAGGTAGAGCTTTGTAATTTTACAGTGTGGCTGTGTCTGGCCTCATCATTACTCACAACCTCTTGGACCTGCTCCCATCTGTCCCTGGAAAAGTTCAGAGTTCAGTCATCACAGACTTCTTAGCTGGAGGCGATCTCTGGTGGATTTCCCTGAAGAGGAAGAAGACTCAGCTGCTATCTCTGTCCCAGACTGGAAATAAAACGGAGGTAAAAAATGAGTTAATAAGATTATAATTTTAAATTTAAAAAAGTTAATTAGATCATAATAATAAAATAACAATACCTCTTCTTGAACGGTCATCATTTGTTATGAGGTGGTTGAATCACTCGGTCATCATCATCAGGGCAGGGCTTTAATCTGGGACCCAGGGCTTGTTGACAATCAGTTTTTGCTTTTTCATAAAGTGCTGCTACAACTTTTTGACTGTTGACGTGATGGGATGTCGTAACAGGGCTCAATAACTTTAAAGCCAGCTCATCAATAACACAATACGGACATAGATCCAGAGCTTTAAAAACTCCTACAGTTTGTGTTATTGCTTGGGACCGATCTGAATTACCTGATAAAGGTTGTTTAAATGTTGCTGCTATCACTCTTTGCAACAAGCTGCTTTTCTTGCTTGTACAAGAGACGTTAATTTTCAGATGATGTTGTTTCAAGTGCATTAACAAGTTAGACGTGTTGCCTGCTGCAGATCCAATCTCCATGAAACAACATCGACACACAGCTTTGGATTTACACTTGTCTTTTAACAAGAAAGCCATAATGTTCTCAAACAGGAGACCACAACGAGATGCTAGGCTGCTAATGTTTTGCGTGCTGCAAGTCTATAGCGCTGTGCTGAAACACGCTTAGGAACTTTAGTTCTGTGGTGCATAATCTCTCGTTAATAAAATTTAATGAGTGAAAAAATAACCGAAACGGTACACACGTGGACCAAATCGAACATGCCGTACTGAAACGGTTCAATACACCCACGTGTACCGTTACACCCCTATCGGTCACACACTCAGTCATGGCATCGATGTCCTCTCCATGTGGCTGGCACAGTGCATCCCAGTCTGTAGCCTCAAAACAACCCCGCAGGGCTTCTTCAGCTTCCGTTGACCATTTTCTCACTGTTCTCTTTATTACAGGTAGTCTCCGAACAAGGGGTTTATATTTTGAGCAGAGAAACACAAGATTGTGATCTGATTTGCCAAGAGGGGGTCTTGCTTTAACGATGTATGAATCCTTGACATTTGCATAAAACAAGTCCAGCGTTTTGTTTTCTCTGGTAGAGCAGCTGACAAACTGTTGGAATGTCGGAAGTGTAGCAGAGAGTGAGACATGATTAAAATCCCCAGATATTGCAACAAACGCACTAGGGTGTTGTGTCTGTAGCTTAGCAACCTCGGAGCTGATGACATCACACGCAGTCTCGGCAACAGCATTGGGTGGAATGTAAACAGTTGCCAAAATAACACTGGTGAACTCTCTTGGCAAATAATATGGACGACAGATTACTGCTAACAGCTCAATATCTGGACTGCAGAGACGACACTTCACAGTAACATGTCCAGGATTACACCATCTGTTGTTCACAAGCACTGCCAACCCACCTCCTTTGCTTTTGCCACTCCTCTTTAAATCTCTATCTGCTCGTATGGTCAGAAAGCCTGGCAGAGAAACGCTGGAGTCAGGGATATGATCCTGCAGCCATGTCTCAGTGAAACACATAACACTGCATTCCCGATACTCTGGATGGGTCTTTGTTATTGCTTGAAGTTCATCCAACTTGTTTCCCATCGATCTCACATTGCCCATCATGATCGATGGAAGAGATGGTTTGAACTTCATTCTCCTTTTCCTCTTCTTTTCTCCTGCTCTGCATCCACGACGCCTCCTTTTCAACTCAATTTAACCAAATATCTGATAAAAAAATACAAGTCTACCACAAATCGGACCAAACTAACAAAAGTCAACTACAGAACTAAAAATAAATAAATAACACACACGCCAACCTTTTTTTATTTATTTATTGTAAATTTATTCATTTCATATGGCAAGCCATAACCTTAAATATGACAACAACAACAAAAACACAAGTTAGCTGTGTATTTGACCAAAAGATACAAATCAACCACTAATCAAACGAATAAAAATAAAACAAGTCAACCAAACAGGAAAACACAGATGTGTGTTTAAATAATTGTGACTTTTTATGAATAAAATTAACAAGATCAAATTGTTAAAATTAACTTTTCGAAGGTAGCATTTCTAAAACATAAATTTTGCCTGCTGCCTTGCATATTAAGGTTTAAACAAAGATCTATCTGGTAATTTTACTTCAATATGTGTAAAACTGGGTGAGTGATATCCAGTTTTGTATTTGCTGAAGTCATTTAGCTGTGGCAGCCATCTTGGCTCAGATTAACTCTGAAAGGTAATCAGTTGTTAAAAAAAAAAAAAAACATTCAAAGATTCCGTTCAAAAATTTTAATTAAACTTTGTTAACTGGTTCACAAGAGATTTTATTAACAGATAAATGAACACACCTATATGCATACTCACTGACCAGTACAGTACACCTTTCATTCCAGCAGCCAATCATGATGTGTTTTGCAACACCACATACAACTTTTCTCTCCCCTTCAGAATGAGGATGCAGGAGCGGCTCTGGCTGCAGCCAAATCAGAGGTCAGAGGGAACGGGCCTCTGCCTGGAGGAGGAGGACTTATGGAGGAGATGAGCGCCTTACTGGCCAGGAGGTAAATTATTCTATAGAGTTTGTTTGCAGCTTGTTTTGAATACTAAAAATACTAATTTAAGTTCTTATTGTTGTCCTAATTGAATGTGAGACATCTTTTGACAACACCCAGGTTTTCATTTTGAAAACCCAGTAGTGAGATAGAAACAGCAGAAGGAATATCTGCTGAAAGTACATGCTGAGGAGAAACATTTCTTTTCCAATCTAACAAGGTTAAGTCAGGTCCTCTGGGCGGAATCTTCTTTGTTAAAACATTTGAAACATTTGAAAACAGATTTCAGATTCCAGAAAAAAAAAAAACCCTGCAGTATGACTTTTTATAACTGTTTATTGTTGTTGCTGTTGTCCATTGTTGTCATCTTTCTTTGTTGAAATCAGGTCTCTCTTGTAAATGAGTCCTCGAGGCTCAATGGGATTTACCTGTAGAAATAAAGGTTGATTGATTTGTCTTTTTCTTCATTCTGGGGAGCTGCAACAAACTCAGTCTTGTAAATAGCTCCGTCTCACTAACAATTGATCGTTAGTGCCCGAACCATTGATCGTTAGTGCCCCAATGGCCGCTTGCTATTCACAAAGGACTGAGTGATACTAGCAATAACAACATTGTAAGAGGGGACAGTTGGACACGGAGGCCTCCGCGCCTGTTTAATGATGGACGGTTTCTCTTCACAAAGATTTACAAAGAAAAGAGCTTCCTTTACTCCCCTCTCAATTGTTGCGCTGATGGTGTGATGATCACGCCCTCTGTCCCCTGCCTCACTCTCAGCAGCATATGATCAACCTCTATAACTGTGCTATTGGAAGAGTATTAACCTATGTATTCCCAGTGTGGTTCTCCAGCGGGTGGTTAAAACAGCTGGAAAGATCATCGGGATTATCCTCCCGGAGATCAGAACTATCTATACAACCCGTTGTCTGAGACTAGTCAACAACATCCTGCAGGATAGGTACCATCCTGCACATGGCTTATTCCATCTGTTACCCTCAGGCAGAAGGTACCGGTCTATAGGTGCCAGGACCACCAGAATGACTCACAGTCTGTACCCACAGGCTGTGTGACTGTTAAACGAACAGCATCTCTCTGTGATCCCGTCCATTATTCTTACATCTCAAATCTCATCATGACAATAACTGTGAAATGGATATTGCATTGCTGAACAACCAACTACTGCCCCTTCAACATCAGGCTGTCTTCAGTTTTCCCTTCTTCTATCCTGCCCTTATATGCTGTATTATTATTTATATTTGCACTGATCATCAGAACCTGCAAAGTTCTTTCACACCACAATGTGCTATTTTTTTTTGTATAGGTGTATGATTGTCCATCAAAGTTTTGTTGCTATCCATAACTGTTGTTATTATGGCAATGACAATAAAGTAAAGTAAGTAAAGCAAGTAATTAAGTAAGCCCCTCCTGTCATGTTTCTAGTAATCGTGTTCTGTCTTCTTGCTCCTGTCATTACCACGCCCACTTTGCTCAATCAGCATCAGTGTTCATGCCATCCACCTATCATCTGCTCTATTTAAGCTCCAAGCCCTCACTCATTCCCTGCCAGATTAT